AGAGCATAGCTGCGATTATAAATTAACTTAAACCAACATATGCACATGTACAAATATGAATATTAAAACACAAGGCATGTGCATGTGTGTATGCATACAACAATTATAATAGTCAACTTGTATGCAGATTCACGTGACACTGCTCTTTTGGCTGCCCTTAGCCATGTTGCAATTTGTGCGGTTTTACGCTCTAATTTTCCCACAAAACCCACATGAGTTGTCATTTGTATGAAATTTGCTTAAAAAAAAACATTAACATTTCACAGCATTTCAAAATAGAATAAACAACAAAAGTATGTACATTAGGGCGGAGTAATTTACTTTCGAAAAAAGTGTATGCATATTCCAATTCTACGTTCGTTTCTAAGCAAAAATGTTGAACCAAAAATTACGTTTGATGCTCCCACTTTTACAAGCTTTTAGTTAACTTGCTCTCTTTGTATGTATGTATAATTTTAGGGGTAAATGTTGGAATCAATTTTTAACTAGGTCCCAATGACCTAGAGACTTGAAACTTCACAGTTGGCTCATAACCCGATGACAACACAATACGAAAGAAGTGTTGGTCCGATAGGTGGCGCAGGAGTCGAGATATTTGGAAAACCCGTATTTATAGACCGATTTGGTTCATATTTACATAAAAAGGAAATTTCTCCGATAGGTGGCACACGAGTCGATATGCATATTTGGAAAACCCGTATTTATATTCCGGTTTGGTTCATATTTAGAAAGCTTGCCTTAAAAATATTAGTTTTTACAATTAACTTATTCAAAAGAAAACTCAGTATATTACAATTTTTTCTTATAGAAATTAATTTTTCATTTACAAACTTTTGTGCTTTCTTCATATAATGTATGTACTTTGTTCGCCATTTTAGCTTAGTACTAATTGTAGAATTTGAATTTGCTGTACACTTTCTTCGAAAATTTTGCTCCGAACAAATAACTCCGCCCTAATGTTCATACATATCTGACCAATTAATTAAACCTCGTGATTCAATATTTTATGTAATTTCAGTGTATTTTTTTTATCAGTTTTGCATTTAGTAGGCAAACCATATTAATTCTCCAATTTCCAATTAAATTTCCAGAGGGCTGATAATCACTATTCCTCAGCTAGTTAATTTAAGGCTAAACAAAACTTGTTGAAAAAACCAAAAATTCATCCATCATTTATTCCATATTATTCCCTAAAATTCCATACCAATTTGTGTTAAAATAAATCAAGTCACTGTTGCTAATTACAAGGCGTCGCTTATTCAATTTGGCTAAGTGAGTTTTGTTTGTTTCATGCTTTCTCTTGATATCAGCAGCTAATCACACACATACATCATTATATAAATAGGCAATCATGTTTCCTTTACACCCCTTT